CTGCTTGGCCACTTCCAGGCTAGCACTGTGGCCACAGGCAGGTGGGCTAACCTCTCTATGCTTCAATTGCTTCATCTCTAGAGTGGGGGTAAATACACCTGCCTGTCGTTGAAGGGGAAGTACAAAGTTTCCTGTCTGTCCCAAAGGAGGCTCAGTAAGGGGAGCCATTCTTTTCTGATTAATGTAAGAAAGAGCCATACCTCCTTCAGAGGCCAGGGTGACTTCCACATTGAAGGTGATTTCTGAGTTGATTCTTAAAAGATTGTAGGAATCTGTCAAGCACACAGTGGACAGAGGGAAAAAATAAACAGGCAAAGACATCATGGAGTGAAAAGGTATGGGGTTGTCAAGGAACTGAGAGATATTAGAGGAACTATTCAAGGATTTCAGATGGGAGGTGTAGAAGCTGGGAATGGGAAAAGCCGGGCCAGGCCATGCTGGGAGGGCTTTGCCAGCTAAAGAATCTGGACTTTGTTCTGGAATGATGCAAACCCTCTGATGTGTTTAAACAGAGAGGTCACAGGATCAGATCTACACAGGGAGGAGAGTGCATTGTTGTTGGGATAGTCTAGAAAATTCTGGAGAAGGAAGTTGTCTCCTGAGGGAGAAAGGAAGTGAGTACTTTCTTGCTTTCCTTGTGATGGCTTGTAAATAACCAGGCTGGTAGCAAACACCACAGAGCTTTCTATTCCATTTTCTCTGAAAGCTGCTCGCAATGAATTAAGCTGATGTGCACCAAATTCCCTCATTAGTATAAGTGCCTCATCCCCCATCTCTCTCCATCTAACCCACTGACAGGTCTCAATAAATGTTAAGCAATAATCATTACAGCTAAATGTTCAGTACTGCTGATGCAAGCACAGGATATTGGCTGCCAGGAATTCAAACAGTAGCACTGCTAGCCTGTATTATTTCTACTAAACCCAGGGTAGGAAAGGAGAAAATCCAAAGTTAAAGGCACTATCCAAGTTCAAACCAGAAGCGCAGGGGTATGATTTACAGTACCCAATTGCTTTACCACATTAAGCTTTCATATCAAATCTGGAAGCTCAGTGTAGCAATCTGTTGACTTTAACCTGCCCAGACTAACAACGTAAACCACTTTGTAGTCAGTCCAGAAGCCTCAGCAGTTCTAAAACAATATTTCAAATTGGGTTAAAAATTTCCACAAAAATAAAATCCATAAGGTAGGGGATTCTTTTTATTTTGGAGAAGGCAATGTAATTCCTCAGAAAATCATATTGCAGATAATTGGTCAGCATATTAGCACACTGGACCTTGAGATCTAAAGAGAGAAATACATCATCGCCTTGGTGGTAATTCCTATTCAGAAGATTTGGGTTAAAGTTCTGAATATGTCACTAATTAGCTGTAAGACTTTGAGCAAATCATTTTTACATTTCTAGGCCATGTGAATTATAACTGGGAGGGCCCCATGAGTCAAAAATGGTCCCCGTATCAGAAGGTAAGAAAACTGTGTCCCAGACAGATGATATGTCTTGCTTTATCAATCAGGGCTCATCCAGGGAAGCAGAGACCTCTCTAGTCTTTGAAACAGAAGGAATTTTCTTACAGAAAGTTGGTTATACTAGTGATGGAAAAGCTGAGAAGCCAAAGAGAGGGCAGGGTAGAAGGGCAATCCAGAGATGAGCCACAGCAGGAAGATGCAACCACCTCTAGGCTGGAGGGACAAGAGGAAGAGATGGTACCATCAGGGCCCTGAGGCTGGGAGGAGCTGGAACCACTGCAGGAGGTTCATAGAAGCAGGGGGCCATTGTGTAGAACTACACTGGCTTCCCACACTCTCCTGCTTTTACTCTTCTGCCAGTGCCTCTGGGACCAAATACCTGGAAGCAGCTGCAGGGAGCCTCGGAAGTGTAGTTCCCTGAGATGCAGGGTAGAGCCAGAGGGAAAAGACCAGATCGGAGAGTAAGCAGGCAGTCAACTAGCATTTACTTAAATTTCATCATCTTTAAAAACAAAGGTCATGTCTAGTTTGTTTCTAAGGCATAGTCTTAGCATAGGCCTGGGAAATAGTAAAAACAAACAAACGAATGTGTTTGTGTATAGTACAATGTTCAAATTGCTGCTGTAAGTACTTTGCATGTACCAACTCATTTAATCTAATAGCAACCCACTGCCCTAGGAGTTAGGTATTTTTTTCCTTCTTTCAGATGAGAAAACAAAGGCTCTGAGACATCAAGTAACAGTAAGTAAGTGGCAGAAACAGACTTTAAACCCAGGCATTGTGGCTTCAGAATCTCTCCCTTAACCACTGGAGTACAATGCCTCTTGATATATTAGGATCATAGACGCTCAATAATCATTTAATGAATGAGTGAATGACTAAGGTCCTTTCCACTTTAAAACCCTATGATCTTGTATCTAAACATGAAAAGAAAATCGATTTAAAGTCTTATACAATCATTTTCACACGCAAATCCATATCCCTTAAAGCTCATTTATAGCCTGAAGATTGTTGGGAGATTTATCTTACCATGACTCAGTTCCCTAGAATGGCTCCTAGTTATTGGCAGCACTCAAAAACATTGGTTGAAAAAAATAAATGCTTTGATATAGGCACAGATCCTTATTTAAAATTCCCTTGGAGAATTTTGCTTCTGCTTTTCTGCTATTCTGCTGCTCCAGAACTTTTCAAGTTATTTCACTGGAAAAGTGAAGCAAATCCTTAAACCAAGTTTACTGAATTTCCTTTTATTTTAAATATTATAAAAGGTTTTAGATGGCACCATGTGACAGAATCTATTCGTTCTTTATCCAATATCTTCTCTCCTAGAAACAAAAATCCAATTTTGGAGGGACAGCAATGTGCCTAACTAAAAAACTTCAATTCCCAGTCTCCTTTGTGGATAGGTGTGACCATGTGACCAAAGTTCTGGTCAATGAGACGTAAGTAGACATGTGGGACTTATGGGAGATAACTTCTTATATGGAAGGTGATTCAGCAGGAGAAATCATCTTTTACCCTCTCTCTACTTCCTTCCTCCTGCTCTGTTAGCCATTATGGATTGTGAAATGACCTGAGGGCAGGAAGCCATCTATTAATTAAGCTGTGGAGTGCACAGATGGAAGGAGCTTAGGTTGCTGGTGAGCATGGAGCCACCAAGCACCTCGAAACTGCATACTTCAGACTTCATTTATGTAAGAGCAATAAAATTCTAAGTTGTTTAAGTCACTGTTACTTTGAGTTTCCGCAGCTGAACCCAATTCTAACAGAAAAATAAAAAGACTTTCAAATATTTCAAAAATGTTCAAAAGAGAAGGTTTTAAGAATTAACCAAAAATAGAACTAATATCAAAAAGCGGGATGGGTTGAGGCCCTGAGGGCCACTGAAGTGTCAAAAGATAGCAGACCAATATCTTTCTTTTTTTTTTTACCTTACACAGAACAAAAGCAAAAAACATCACCTATGCAGCCAACCAAATGCTCCAGTGCTTCGTGGAGGAAGTAAAATCTTGAGTGGAATTTTTCTCAGACTCTAGGAAATAGTCTTCTTGTGCTTATCCATATTTATTCTGTGCTTAAATACATATAAATATGTGTGAGGGGAGCCATACTTCTACCTCTGAGGTTTCAGACACCCAGGCGTGTGCAAGTGAGTGAGGTCAACCAGACTCATGCTGCCTATTCAACAGAAAGGAATATTCTTGACTTACAAAGATACGTGGCCATCCTCCACTTCTTAAAATACACATAACCCTCTTGGTCTCGTCTCTTGTATTCCTACTTTTTTCAGAAATATGGGTTCAAGAAATAGAAGAGCAATAAACTTCTATGCTCTATATCATCTTTTTTCTCTTAATGCTAATATAAGAAAAACAACAACAGAAACACATTGATAAAGAGCCATGATGCCTCATGGAGAAATACTAGAGAGTGGCATGGAGTGGGCTGACTGGGGGCAGTGATAACCAAATGGTGCCCAAGGGGACAGTGGTTACTCAGATCCAGCCAGTTATTGCCAAGTGGAATTTGGGTTCAGTGTTGCCAGACTTTTCAATTTTTCAAGAGTAGCTAAAATTTAGATTTTTATGTAAAACTAAATTTTTGTAAATTTATGATTTTAAAATATTAGCAGTTAATTCACTTGAAAAGAAATCAAGATGCTGATTTTGGAAGCTTGTATGCAGCTTCTGCTTTAGAACGATGGTTCCCAGCCTCTGGTGTGCATTGCGATAACCTGGGGACCATTAAAAAAGTTTTGTGTTTGTGTGTGCATTTATTTAAAAGGAGGGAAATAGATACATATATATTGCTTGTATGTGTATAAAAATGTAAATTCTTTATGTGACACATTTATTTGAAAGGGAAGATATATACACAGAAGATATGTATACATATCTCAGGTATATAAATGTGTATGTATAATACATATATATGTATATATAATACATATAAAAATATCTCTGGAAGGAAAAACAAAAAATCATTCACATTGGTAGCTTTGACTGAGGGGCACTGGGTAGATGGCTGAGGAGTTAGGAAGGAGAATTGCCACGTAACCCTTTGGGACATGTGGAGACTTGGACCATAAATGTGTAAACGTGTTCTCTTTCTACACGTATACATAGAAGGTATTCATAGTCTCCCTCCTCTCTTACTAAGATTTTGATTCAGTAGTGCTGGAGTAGGGATTCAACATCTGATTTAAAAACAAATGAATAAATCCACATACTCCTTGCTAGTGGAAATAGTCATATTCCTGCTCTAATCTGCTGATTCACCACACATATTTGCCAGGAAGATGAGAAGGCATATATTACTACTTGATGATTGCTCTCAAGGAGGAAAACAGAATGTTTCCATGGCATGGAAATCTTGAACCCAGTAGATTCAAGGAGAAAAGGTGTCCCTAACCACTCATTTTGTTCTGGCCTTGCCCTCTAGGCTACCGTCACTCTAGGTCCTAACCCAGAACTGTGTGAGCCATTTCTTGGATGGAGCCGACCAGGAATGAGGAAGGAAGCAAGGAAATTACCTGATAAAGGAGTATATAGATGAGGAAGATGTGGCAGCCCTGAGACCTCTTGGGGAATGGATCTGCGGGTAAGCAGTCTGTCTAGCAGTTGATCAGAAGATGACACAGTCCAAGCTTTATAAAACACCTGATTAGAATCACCTCTCCAGGGGTTATCAAGCAATGCCTGGCAACCAGTTCTGTTATTCAACAAATCCTGCTCACTTCGGCTTTTTTGAGATTGCTGGGCCATATGATGAGTACCAGGGCTCAGGCCAACATGGGAAGTGGCTCCCTGGGGAGCTGTCAGGAAGTTATTGCCCAGGGTGATGGGTGGGAGACTCTGTGTTCTGATTGGTGGAAGCCCCTTATGGGCTAGAGGGTTCTTTTCTGGCAAGAGATATTTTGAATTTTCTGAGGTCCTTTTCTTAAAGTCAACCATAGGCACGTGATCACTCAGCTGTTCTTGGCAGTTGGTACCCACGATGCTATCAAAGGTGGTGATGATGTCACTGACTCCCGAGGTGTGCTCCCCACTGTGTTGATCCCTGCTGTGATCCTCATGATAGGCCCTCTGTTCTTCTTTTTTGTTTTTGCAGAAAATTTGGTTGAGCATGTTGAATCTTCCCTCCTTCCTCTGGGATCTACTGTTCTGGGAAGGAAGGGGTCGAGTAGGCTCTGTTCTGTGGGGATATAAAATAACAAAGATGCTCAATGAAGATAAGAATGGGAGACACCACCACTGACTACACAGAACACCTCCCGCTATGCCATCCACTTGGGCC